TAGACGATATATCACACAGTGAAACAGTATTATATACTGGATGATGTTTCAAACAAAACTTATTTGGTTATAATCATTTCATCAATTATAATCACACGACATCGGTGGCATAGCGCCTAGGACACTCGCCAACCATGCGCATGGTGCGGGATTCCATCCCCGGACGACGCACTCCTTTACCTCACAGAGCCAGTAATAGAACTGGCAAAGAGGGAGGTTGGGCATGAGGCTAGCAACCCCATCTTGCAAAAACAAACACTGCTCGAGGAATTTCGAGCTTCTAGCTTGGAGCCCTGTATTCCACTGGGAACGTGAAGGAATAAAAATATCACACGACTTCGAAACTTGAGTTTTATAGTTTCCTTTGTCCTCCTCTCCTATTTGTCGTAAGGGTGGTAGAATTTCCCAGATGTCTGGAACAGGTGTGGAATCATGCCTATTACACGTATTTGCAGTTGACTCGATAAACCATGCTTCCGTTATCAATCTCTCCCTCCACTCTGTCACATTAGATTTTAAAGCTGTCATCTTATCTCATTCATCATATTGTGTGGTTGTGTGTAACTGCATGTAGTGCTATCTACGCCTGAACTATTCTCTAGATTTCTTATCTTATTCGGGTCAACCAATCTAGATTTTGATAGGTTTTTATGCTCGGCTAGTCTGACTGCACCTGTTCTACCACTTTCACGTATGTATTTGACCTGACAATCATTGGAGACAGGGTATTAGACAAACTAAATTGTTTTGTTTTAAAGGCTCCACAGGATCTTTTAACCGACAAAGCATGTTTCTAATTGAGTTTGTAGTTGGTTTGAATGCCGGTCATTTTTATTCCTGCCTTCCAGTAAATACTGCTGTTTCACTGTGTGATATATTTAATAAACAAACTAATATGGAAAACCTAATTACATCCAACCACTACTTCTGTACAAACAACACAGCGAGATAATCGGTATTATTCTGCTCATCCACTAAGCAAACCCATTGTTAACCAGCCCCCTTTGAATGTTATAGAAAATCTCCTAAATATCGGCTACAGACAACATTCAGTCAGCCAAATATGCCCATAGAACCCATTTATACATCTTATGTATTTAGTAGGGAGCATGTGCCAATGTCTGCACAAAACCTGCTATGGTCTGATAACAACCCCAACCAGATACCAAGTCTTCATTCCTATTCTGGCAACAAATTACCGAATACTTATATCGACTATTACTTTCAAAATTATACTGCCCCTAGTAGCCGCTTCGAGAAGAATTTTCACCAGCGTCAGTCAACGGAAACATCTGGGATCATGCGTTTAGCACGCATGCTATCGGATTAATTCTTTGCCGGTGTTGTGAACAGTCTACTGCTAGGAAAAGGTATATTTCCCAGGAGACGGTTGATACTGTCGGCACCGAACGCGGATACCGATATCTCTAATTTTCACACATGTGTCTCATTGCATACCCTATTCAACCGACAGACCACCCCTGACTACCACCTTACGAACCTGCCTGAAATCTTCCTATGATCCAAAGGTAGTCGTTAGTGAGTCTAAAATGCATGTATACAGAGGATAGTCACGGAATATTTTATCAAGATGTTCTCCGCTCACTAAAATCATGTAGCCAGTGTTACATTAGCTTCTATGTGCAGACTGTCATTGATTATAATCACTGAAGCCTGGTACACAAGTGAAATCCCTAATGACAGCCTAAGAATTGTTAACCACAATATTTTTCGAGGGGACAGAGAGACAGGCCATGGGGGTGGAACACTAATTTACTGTGAACAATTCATGTGTGAAACCCAGCTCAGTAACCCAATTCTGTCACAGCTGAATGAATCGATCTGGGTCGAAGTAAACCTATACTTATGGGTTGTGTGTAATGACCCCCTTCATCCAACTGGGAGTATGATAATATGCTCAGAAACATGTTTAATGTTACAGGCAATCTTCTCTTCAGTTATAAAATTATCGGAGGTGATTTCAACATGCCAGAAGTATCATGGCATTCACTCCGAGGACCCAAAATGTATAATAATCTCCTGAATTCCATCGCCACAGGAGGGTGGATACAACACATAAATTCACCCACTAGATCCGCAAATACCCTAGACCTTATTTTCACAAACAACATAACACCATCTACAGTACGTATAGGAGATGAATTTCCAGGCAGTGACCGTAAAATATTCGTGTGTTGTTTTAACACCTTCCCTGAAACAATACTCAGAGATCAAGCCGACCAGACACCTATGAGATAATACACACATGCCGACTAGGACTTGTATCAGCACCCAATTAGATACTCTAATTGGCACTCGTACTTTTCGAACGAGTCCTTAGACGCAGTTCTTAACAATTTTTATCCCAATATTAAATCAATTCATGATGTCATTGCACCTGAGGAGATTCTTAGCTTCAAATTCTACCAAAGCGACTATATTCCGACATCGTGAAGGAGAAGTCAAGCACTCAATAAAATGCTACGGATGTCATGATTTATCATCATTAATTGCTATTACGTACGTTGTCACCAGAATCCAAGAGTTGAAAAATATAAGCCTCAGAAACAAAGAAATGTGGGCCATTCAGCCACCGCATAACCCAGGAGACTTAGCCAGGCTTTTCAAAAGTAGGCTAACAAACTCCAAAACAGCCTATCTAAAATTAATATACTTGGACGGTATTGCTTAAGAGAATACCGAGGTGATATGTTAACTTATTAGCGGGCACTTCGCCAGACTATACACCATGGAGAACGACCAGGTCGTGGATTTCACACGTAAAACAGACGAATATCTGAGTGAGATACTTTTCACCACACAAGAGATCGATAAAGCTATCGCAAATCTTAAGCTTACTAACACTCCTGGTGCAGACAGTATATCTTCCATTCTATTGAAAAACGGTGATATTGTCTTCAACTTAACTCCTACTCAAGTTATACTCAATTTCATTAAGCCATAGGACATAGCCTACTTGCTGGAAGAAGTCTTATATTGTACCTATTCATAAATACAGGCCTATAGCTGATATCGACAACCACCGCCCTATCAACATCACGTCTGTAGTTTCACGTGTAATGGAAAAGATAGTAAAGACTCGAATCATTTAGTATTTACTCTCTAATGTCCTACTATCCCCCCCCCAATACGGTTTCCTAAGTAGAAGACCGTGCATTACTTTCCGCTTAGATTATTTTGACTACATTAAACAATGCATAGATAATGAGCATTCGGTAACTATCGAATATCATCAAATCAATGTGCACAGGGTTGGCGAGCTTCCTAGAATGGTGGCCACATTGCAAACCTGACTGATAGAGAGTTTCCCAGACGCCGCACTTACTCCTAACAGTTTACCCTCAATTCCTAACTTACCACGTGTTACTTATGTCACTGGAACACAATCGCGTTGGAACAGAAGGAACACAGATTCATTGAAAAATTGTTTATTAAACAAAAATTAGATTTTAGATGTACAGATAGCTCAGATGAGTAGTCCTCCGTTACTCTCAGTAGGTCCCAACTGCGTACACAGCACATATATGTTTCTCCATAAGCCTGAAAAGGTTCAAGAAAAGCATTATTAACTTGGGTAGTACATGTATGACCTGAATAAAAAAATTTTTATTGATAAGCATTTATAAGTAATCACATTACAAACAATATATATAAGTTGCTAAATACTTTTCACTAAACTTAAGGGACTTTGCAATTTATCGTTGGTCGATATCTAGCAGGTTCATCGAACCATCACATGAAATAATAAAATTATTTAACGACAAGTTATGCAGTTCTTCCCAAAGCCTGTACCAAGATTTTAATAGAAAACGACAATGGCTTTATGACAAATAATAAGTCTTGACAGCGAGAACAATAATAATACCGTTTATGCTCATAATAGGTATTATTATCGCAACGAATTCATCATTGACTTAGATAAAAACCAATAATAATACAATCATATCAATTAAATGTATCACTTAATCTTATTTTTTTTAATTTTTGATTTACAGCTTGATTCCACACCGTATTTTCGGTACAAGTATGGAATATTCAGGATGGATATCGGTAGCCCAAATTTCGAAGGCCGACCATAGATATCAGATGTGCGTCGGCAGGGGTTCCAACCTCGGACCGTGTGCATGGTCGGTGAAAGTATTAACCACTGTGCCACCGACGCCCAGATTACTTATTGTCCATTCTTAATTACAAGATTCCTGTTAGCCACAGGATGTGGGGACTTACAGCTTCCATGACCTAATTCAGAATAATGCACATACCTCTTTCCTTTCATAAGCGACAAATAATCCGGGTTGATCACCACATTCACAGGTATCGGATTCACCTTAGTACATACAACGGCGAAATCGACAGACAACAGTCATCCTAACTGGATTAACATTTTCCAATCTTATGACTACTTGATGGTGCTCTGGTATTTTTCTCCTCACAACTAGACGCTGGTTTACTTTCTCCCAAAAAAAAACCTCTTTTCGCACGAATGAGTGCTTTCGGATACGCTTGTTAGAAGCGAATTGAGGATCCATCTGTAAAACGGAATTAAAAATAGGACAAAATAAACAAATAAAAAGCAAAATTATGGTAATGCATCTAATAACTAGCTTACTCAACTAGACGGTAAAATTGGATGCAAAACAAAACGGTGATGGATTTAAGTCACATTCAGTAACATAGGGTGTCATACGTCAGACGGGCTTGATACACAAGTGGCGATACTCTGTCGCTACCAGCTAATTTATCTACCCAGCATAATTACTCTTGATTATTGTCCGACAACTGTTTCGTCAATGATCTATGCTAGAATAGTTATTCAAGAATTCACTTTCATCAGGGAGTAGACTAGATGTCGATGAAATAAATCCAACGCCTCCTTCCCTACACCATTTCCTCTATTCGCATTATTCAGATGATTCTAATGTCTTCATGTTCATTCCTAATTACGAGATTTCTGCTAGCCACGAGATGTGGGGACTTACAGGCGGATCCGTTTGCACTTTGGCGCCAGAACTTCCTGAGCCTTGTTGGACAGGATGCCCCTTATGTGGCACTACCTTGTCACGTCTATCTGGCCGGAGTGAGGTTTTCTTCTCAACACTTGACCCTTGTCTGCTGTCTCCCAAAAAGAGAACCTCTTTTCGCACGAATGAGTGCTTTCGGATACGCTTGTTAGAAGCGAATTGAGGATCCATCTGTAAAACGGAATTAAAAATAGGACAAAATAAACAAATAAAAAGCAAAATTATGGTAATGCATTCAATAACTAGGTGACTCAACTAGACGGTAAAATTGGATGCAAAACAAAACGGTGATGGATTTAAGTCACATTCAGTAACATAGGGTGTCATACGTCAGACGGGCTTGATACACAAGTGGCGATACTCTGTCGCTACCAGCTAATTTATCTACCCAGCATAATTACTCTTGATTATTGTCCGACAACTGTTTCGTCAATGATCTATGCTAGAATAGTTATTCAAGAATTCACTTTCATCAGGGAGTAGACTAGATGTCGATGAAATAAATCCAACGCCTCCTTCCCTACACCATTTCCTCTATTCGCATTATTCAGATGATTCTAATGTCTTCATGTTCATTCCTAATTACGAGATTTCTGCTAGCCACGAGATGTGGGGACTTACAGGTGGATCCGTTTGCACTTTGGCGCCAGAACTTCCTGAACCTTGTTGGGCAGGATGCCCCTTATGTGGCACTACCTTGTCACGTCTATCTGGCCGGAGTGAGGTTTTCTTCTCAACACTTGACTCTTGTCTGCTGTCTCCCAAAAAGAGAACCTCTTTTCGCACGAATGAGTGCTTTCGGATACGCTTGTTAGAAGCGAATTGAGGATCCATCTGTAAAACGGAATTAAAAATAGGACAAAATAAACAAATAAAAAGCAAAATTATAGTAATGCATTTAATATCTAGGTTACTTAACTGAACAGTAAAATTGGATGTAGAACATAACATCGGTTAACAGCTTCAGGTAGCGATATCTGGCCTGCACTTACATCTAAGTCACGAAACTCTGACCAACACGTGAGTGCTTACTTGAATAATCTGTGACTGCAACCCGCAATTTCATCGACGCATTAAAACAAATGTACAAACAATCAAAATTTATTTGGTCATAAACATTTCTTCAATTATGAAACTTGAGTTTCATAGTTTTCTTTGTTCTCTCGTAATTGTCCTAAGGGTGATGGAATTTTCCAGATGCCTGGAACAGGTGTTGAATCATTCCTACTACACGTGTTTGCAGATGATTATGGTAAGCTATTATATTAACTCATTCATTATATGCTGCTGTCTCCATTATCGCAAGTCTTGATATCGTTTCCCATTTCATCAGAAGGACTTCATATCAAATGACAAAATCAACACCAATGTGATAAACAATTTCACTATGTAAACACACGTAGCTTTTATAATTTTACACATTTATCAAATCCAACAATGTACACCTGGCTTTCTTATCTTTATTTACCAATTGGCCAACTTGACAAGGCGAAAATGCCGCCTTTCTGAGGAACGACGATTAAGTTGTGATATATAAGCTGAAATTTTGTAAAGTCTGGTTTAGTAATACTTTGATAAAGCTGTTAGCAGCATTAAATAGCGAAACGTCAGTAAAACAATATGTACTTTTTCATTCTAATCCGTTTTTAACTTGATGGATTATTTTTTCCTTACAAATTTATGCATTTATGTCGACTAACTTTGTCTCTTTCACTTATCATTTTGAGGACATTGCAGAGTTAACGAGAATATGGTAGGCAACGTATTAAAACTTATGTGAAATGCGTCAGTCTTAAAATTTTACTATTTCCTCAATGCATCATCAAGCCTTGTGTAAAGTGTTTCAGTTGCGTATAATATTGGTATTCGCGATTGTTAAGAAAGTAGCCGTCAAACATGTGTTATAACGAAACATAACCTAGCAAATATAGGTCCTATACGTACATGACTTGTAGTGGTAGTCTAGGCACTTCATGCTGACCATGCAACGTATATCCTATTTATCACAAATAGTCTGCTATTCTTATGTTGCGTTCAACACCACTACCTCAAAGGAAATCATTGCGTAATAAAGAGATAACTACATTACTCTTCTTGTGCTATCATTGCGTATCAATAGGCTCTTACATGATCACATTAACACCCAGACTCGTGCATTAGCTAATTACGTCACTAAATTTGATTGATTACTTTGTTATCATGAAATACTGTAACGCATTAAATAGGCTTTTGTTGTGCATATCGCCTGTTTAAGGTTTACTAGCGAAAGCGATAATAGTACCCCCATCGTGTCTAAATTCAACCAGGTGTAAATATGGCACTTTACCAATATTATGTCTTCTACACTGGCATCACTTTGCAACTTGACAAACAGTAAGTATTATTAGTGTACGAATAAGGTGCAAAATTTTTAAAAACAATATTTATTTCGACAAATACATTCATAATATCACAAATATTCCATCAATCACACAAATATTATCCTTTTTAACACCACTGGAATGTCTAAATGTATTGAGTGATTGCGGTATTGAAGACCATAACCTGAGAATTAAATATGACAAAAATTCAGTCAGCATATGATGGGCGAAATAAATAACTTGAAAGACAGTACCTACCAGTTAAATGACTGTTTATTCACCGTTATCTGACGAAATTACCAACTCAGTTTCCTTTATTACTGTGAAATTTTGTAAACATAATGAAATCATAATTACCTAGATATTTAACTCTCTCCTAATCATTTACGTAAAATACACTGAAACAATTGGAGCTATTTTGCATTTTATATCATGATATATAGGCCAACACGTTATATGAAAACATATGGGCACTGGGTTCGAGCCTCGGTGGGAACATTATCACTCACTGAGAAATGCAGGTACATCCAGCCGACGAGTCCCAAATAGGATGAAATGCGCATCCTGGATTCCACTGCTAGTCACCATCCACCAATTAAATACTAACTAAATGCCCAGACATCGTCGAAGCACCTGCACAAGAAGCCGAAATGTCAACCTGAGACCGAGCACTTCGATCCAATCGTTGTTAAGTATAGACATGTGGATATTATGAGGAACGCGGCTAGTTTCCAAAAGGATATGGAAAGATGATTCACGCAGAAACAGATCACCTGTAGAGCAACAGTTTTACTGTTTTGTCACTGTAAATGTACCTGAGACTTGTTCCGAGAATTCTGTTTGCAGATCTCCAGTGAACACTTTAAGTATGTTGTTTGTCTTTAACAGAGATGCCACACTGAAAAGGGGACTACTGAAGGAGAGGAAATCTGTGGGTCCTATGCATTAGTAATTTTCAATTCTCGGTTGTGAAAGCAATGAAACATAAATCCAAGTAACCTACTGAAGCTGAAATCAGTGACAGGAAGTAAAATCAGGGGTTTTACCACACCCGAGGCTAAATAGTGAAGAAAATATAATAATAATAATAATAATAATAATAATATATTCTCATTTTTTACATGAGGGACGCCAGTTTACAGGCATCATCAATTCGATAATTTACACATAATATTAATAAGCATATTTAGTAAAGATAATATAAGAAGGTACATTTTTTTCCCTAGCAATTTAGGGTACACCAATTGCATAGGCTTGCATAAATATTGTTTTAATAATAATAATATATTCCTTCCTGTTTACGCAGGAACATACCAATTGTACAGTCATGGATAAGTTATTATATAAATTACACAATTTGATGTATGATGAATTTACAGTTTTGTTGTTGTTTCTGACATTAGAGTCAGTCGGAACAGTCTGCTATAAAGTCTGTGTAGCACATAAAGAGATATAGAAATATTGTCTTCGCATTAAAAAAAACCCAGACTTCAGATGAATGTAATACGGATATCTGGGAAAAAAAGCTTGAAGTCAATTCTCTTGTATAACTTTGTTATGAGCAACACCCTTGGCTTAAAGATTATTGATGTATTATGTTGAGACCAGTGATATATTTATTCCATTTTTCGGCAGTCTTATCGCAGTTTCATAACAGGAAAGAAATTTGATCGTGGAGGCGAAAACTAGATAAGGTCATGTTGGGTTGTTTTACTGCATCAAATGGTGCCGAGGTCGATTCCGGAATTCTCCATTTGCGCCATTTGTGTCTGCATGGCGGACTGTACTCGTAAGTTGGGTAAGACGTTGAAAAACTATTTGAGGACCAGTTGCTTCTTCATTTCAGATCATGAATACTCATTAACAGCATGTTCGCCAGCGTCTTCAAATGGTAGAATTGGATCGTTCCTGGAATTTGATTGATTTTGATTCAGCAACCGGTGAATTTTATATTCTTTTCGATCTGGTATCAGAATAACCGCGGACCATTCCATTAAATATGTCGAATAAGGCATGCAGGAGTAGATCATTACCATCGAATGAATCAACTTGATCTGAGATGCAGCTTTCGGCATGTTTTCGTTATATCATAGATATCCAGGTTTATTGGCGCTGTATAGGCAGTGATTTGGATTAAGACGTATTCTGCAGAGTCTCCGTGCCCATTTGAAGTATACATATGCTTTGAAAGGATTACTTTGTTGGCTCCTACCCCACTGAGTGTTAACAACAGCTGCTGTGGATTTATGTATTTCCTCACCATTTTGGATAATTCATCGCCGCATTATTTTGGGAGAGACCAGTTGGTGGATTATGAATGATGTTCAAGTAACTTTTATCTTTTCATGTGGTGTTGCGGTAAGTTTCTACCTTGTTTTCTCATGTTTCATTCGTATGTTGGTTATGGTTCACCCTTTGTATCAGGTAGACATAGTTTGATCGACTCTTGATTGAATGGGTGTTATTGTCATGACTGCTTCTTTTTTGTCTGGGATTATAAATGGAGGCAAAAAACAACAGGTGTAGTCTCTGAGTTCATACATTAAATGGGCCTATGATTTCTGAAACACTTACATGGGAATTACCACTGGTATCAATTACAAACTCACTTAGTGTGTCATTAAGTGCCTTTTCAAAGGAAAAGCTTGTCAAAAATCGTCACGTTTGACATGGTAGCAGGGAGGTTTGTGCATAATAATCCACGTTTACTGATGTGCATTTTCTACGAGTTCCAATATGTTTCAGTGTCGTTAATATCTGGATGTATAATATTAGTTTTATATATATTTATATATATATTGGCTTACATTGAACGACATGAAATAGAATGTTCAAATACACAAAGTATTCTGTCGCTAACGCAGCACTGAACTGTGGAAATATGTGAGAATAATATTCCGTTGGAACCGATTGTCCCTGTCACACCACCACAGAAGTATTCCTCCGAAAAGCAATTACTCAAGATCATAGAAAGGCATTAGGGTAAATGACAGTACGTTGCTGTCAGTGATTTCACAAAATTAATAGTCTAGAGTATTCTTCGCTCAACCACGGGATGCTCGTCAACATAAAATGCTGAGTGTACGCGGTCAAGCGCTAATCACCACACAACGTTTCTAATTCTTAAATATATATATCGCACTTTGGACGACCAATTTGTTTTGTCTTTGCGTCTGAGCAGAACGAGGATTTTGGGAGCGACAGGATAGAAGCTGGCGTTTATAAACAGCGTGACTTGAGTATACGTCGACATTCCTCATCTCCTAAACTGGTAAGCCCGTTAACGAACTTCATCTCACAAACTTGTGGACAGGTAAACAATCTTCGCTATACATCAGTGAGTTCTTTCCACTTTGTATCCGTTCATTTGTTAGCTTTGCTACATTTCAACATAAGCCACTTTTACGACGTGTGATCAGACACCCAAACTTATACGTATTCAAACGACTAGCATTCCCACTCAGCTTGTCTCTT